CGAATACGATACTGACTTGGTGTACATGCGCATGCACACTATACATCATAGTGTACATGCGCATGCACACTATACATCATAGTGCACACACATGTACAGACACATATGTACGAGAGCCTTGTTTCATACTTTCTGTCATACGTCCATGCTGCTGACTTTGATGATGACGCCAAAGGTTGTAAGTACATGAAGTGATTACCACTCTGGTGAAACAGGTTAATCTAGTAGGGATCGCTGTCAACAATATTCAGATACTCTCCCAACTCTCTATTCACTACAAGGCCGTACGACCTTATAGCACTAGTGAATTTCAACAGTTGCGACTCTGGCTGGTCCTTTTCTCCGGACCAAATAATCAGATTGACGTTGAATACCAGAAGTACCGCCAACATCACTACGTCATCCACCCACTCTCTTTCTTTCCTTTGATCGGTGCGCCAACGTTCCAATGATGTAGTACCACTGTGTGTTCCAAGCAGATTGTGTGAATGTTTCCAGTATCAACGAATAAAGGTGTCTCCATACTTGTGAGTACGCTTCGTAGCTTTTTGACTGCCCATGTCTCAAAAATAGGATCTTCCAGAAGTGATAAAATACCCACAATCTTCAAAAGCATCTACATTAACAACCTCGTGAACTCCAGTTGGAAGTTCAAAGAGTACACCGGTATTTACATCCTTTTCTCCCGGATGGTACTGTGACTTACGCTCCACTTTGACTGATATGATCTTCCGGACTCACTTTAATGTCTACTAGTTATATTATCGCTCAGTACAGCTCAATACAAACTCGATATAACGCTCAATTTACGTGGTGTTTACATACATAAATGTATTGAGCGCAAGTGTGTTTACAACAGTGATTACTATAGTAATGGTGGTGTCATGTCAGAATTTTCACGTATGGTGGCAATAATGGGTGTAGGTGGCTCTTACAATGGTTGCCAATGTAGGTTGCTCGAATTGTAGGTGGCGGTTTAGGTTGCTCTTGCAGTGGTGCAGTATTTGGCTGTCGGGACGCGTAGCCAACTAGCCCTTGGTGTCAACCGTCATCATGGTGATTGAATGATGCATTTGAGGCGTTCATATCTATTTATTTTATTTGGAAAAAGTAGCATTTTAAAAAGTGTCGCTACATCACAATCGTACATATTCGCACTAACCATCAATTACCATGATGTATAGAGTAGGGCTTCCACTATTTTTATGTGTGCTGACCACTCTCGTGTGCTCATCCACCTTCATTAATTCTGCCTTTCTGATCGACCTCTGCGCTGATGAGACGCCCGCAAGCACAGCTAAGCTGGTCGATGCTATAGCCACGGCCAAAGCAGATAAGAACACAGACTTGAATACATTAGTAAATACACAGACAGATATAGGTGAGTCGCTGCTACATCTAGCGTGCATATGGGGAGATCCCATAAAGGTTAAAGCGTTATTAGAGGCTGGGGCAGATCCCAACTTCCGTGCGAACAAGCAAAGGTCTTCGCTGGAGATGACACCACTGACGTGGTGTGCGTATGCGGGGTATACAGATGCGGTGGAGATGTTCGTTAAGGATAAGGGAACAAATGTGAATGTCATTGTACGTAAGGAAGATGGTGGCTCGCATACAGCGTTGGATATTGCGTTGCTGATAGGTGAACGGGGTGCGGCCGAGGCCAAATTGTTAGTAGACGCGGGTGCGAAAACGTACGAACAGATCTTGCAGGAGGTGAAGGGTCACGACGAGATCTGATACGTTTGACCAATCTATGGAGCGAAGGTTTATAGGATATAGGTGATGGATAGATTTCCTGTTCTGCTTCGTTTGTATACCATATGGGGCCGTAGGGTAAATTTCTATTGTTTGCAGGGTTTGGAAGTATTAAGTTTGCACTAATCATGCTAATTGTATCGACCTATTGACTATTCGGGAACTGTGGAGCACAAGCTTGCGATCAGACCATTTAGACGTCGGTTGGATAGCAAATACACTACGGTGTCTTAGATTGCGTGGGGTATGATAGGGGCCACTCAGTTGGCGTCTGTGCGGTTGTTATCACGAAAATTCGTTGTATATGAGCGCAGAGATTTGAACAGTTCAAGATTCTGCGCTGTACTGCAGACAGTCGAGGAATGTTGAGCTTTCATAGTAGACTCATGCGTTTTCGCACAGCATGGTACTTGATTTTGACGAAAGCCGCATGTGGCAGACTAAGTACTGAGTTGCTTGAGTCTTCGAAAGGTCGAGTTTTATGCTCAGAGTTTATGAGGTGCGAAAGAACAATAGCTGTCGCGAATTCTGCCAGTGTGTACTGCCGGAACTCATAGGGCTGCTTGAGCTATATTCTTTACCATCGTCTTTGCGTAAATGTGCTCAAAACAAGTCGATAATATGGACGAAGGTGCTGCATCAGAACTCGGGAATGTCTATGAACAGAATTGCAGTCGATTGCATCTGAGGTATGCTACACCACGTGCACTGGATGAGGACTGAGTATATCCTAATGACTTCTAGTTGGAGCAAATGCACCGAGCGCGGCCAACCTTGAATTGAGTACGACTGAAGGTCATAGCAAACGGTACAGTAGAGGTCACATAAACATACAAAACTCATTGATTGTACTGCTGTTACAACAGCTGTATATAAATTTTCTGGCAGCAGAATATTTGCAATGGTACGTTACTGAAACAAGTATGTGTGTCTAACACGATTGAACAATGTTTAAGTACGCGGACAATAATAAGAAAATAATTGTTATGGCTAATAATTATATCTGTATACGCATATGAATATATGTATACTTGCCAATTTTCTTATATGCATCTAAATATACAAATATATATATATATATATATATGTGTGTGTGTGTGTGTGTGTGTGTGTGCGCGCGCTCCTGCCCCTGCACCATGTATAAGATCTTGTACGAAACTATATGCGTGTGTGTATGTGTGTGTATAAATGTGTAAATGGATATATATATTTACATATATACATATACATATGA